TGTGTGTGTGTGTGTGTGTGTGTGTGTGTGTGTGTGTGTGTGTGAGATAGAATTCTTATTATGATAGAATTCAATATTTTATAACTAGAATATTTTATAAATTTAATTATTTGGATTTGATTAGTATTTTTCAGTTAGCTCTCTATGAACTTCTAGTTATACCCTAAAACATTTTGTTGCTTAAATCAATCATGTAAACGTACTATTGCACGTCAAATGGAAATCATTTAGGTAATTTAGATTAAAATGCTTTTTTAAAATGCTATTTTTCTCTAGATGGCTTGTATAGTTAAATCTAATTCTGAAAAGTAGCAGAGAAAAAGATGAAGTTTTATCTGCATCAAGCATGTCTTTTGAATTAATTGCTCGCCTAAAACTTCACCGCTTTTCGACATGAATTTAAATTCTTGTCTAATTATATTTATTTCTACAAGTTCGACCATTATTATTACCTGCAAACGAAGTCTCTAGCATCGGCACATTCCCTCTCGCACTGAGCCAACGACGAGGCAGTGGTGTACCGTCTAACGAACGGCTTCCGCACTCTGGTACTAGACCCAACTTGTCTGAAATTGTCCTGCTCGTCGCATCTGGACACTAACGGGGGCCTACCTATGATGGGCCTGCCAATGATAGGTCCACCAGCAATTCCAAATGGACGAGAGTTGTAGACCCCGCCTTCACCTACGTATCCACCACCAGTAATACCGCCATCATCGTATCCTCCGTATCCTCCTAGTCGCGTTGGACCATACGACCCACCGCCATAATGAGGTCTTGGCTCGGCACCACTCTGAGGACCACGAACGTCATCGACAAATCCGGGCGAGTACATTCCTGGCGGCGGATACCTGCTTTTAATTGAATCTCAACGTCATTTTTCTACTACAAATCGTGGATCATTAAGATTGTTATTATTATTATTATTCAGCGGCGCTTTAGTAATCATTGATGTCCGATGTAATTAAAATATTTTAAAACACTTGTAAAAAATAGATGCGATTTAATATAAAATTTTAGATGACATAAAAAAGCTAAATAACAATGTAAAATACAATTTATTGCGCGTGTATTAAGATTTAGTAATTTTTTTCAGTGTAGTAGGGAAAGATACTTTATTACGGCATATGTGGTAAATAAAAACTTACTAGACAACGCGTTAATGGAAAAATGATAAGTTACGATACGTAAAAATACATTTAAATTTGATATAATCGTGTTTAATTTCGCGACTTACCGATTAGCATAAGGATCCTTGTCTGGGTATCTTCCACTAGCTGGATATCGATCGATAGGAGATCTATCACCACCCAATCCCATAGGATATCGGTCCATAGAGTCTTCTGGATAAGGATACCGGTCTATTGTATTGGGATATCGATCGATCATGTCGGTAGGATATCGACTTGGAATCACACGAACCCCGTGTATTACGGGATATCGGTCACTCGCGGGATATCGATCACTCGCGGGATATCGATCACTCACAGGATATCGGTCACTTGGAGGATATCTCCCCAGAGTTCCGGCGTCGGGATATCTATTGACACCATTGACAGGACGACGATCTCCTCCTCTAATAGGATATCGATCAGATGGATATCTGTCCGGATATCGGTCGCTAACGGTCGGATAACGATCAGGATAGCGGTCTCCCGCAGGATAACGATCTCCTGTAGGATAACGATCTCCTGTAGGATAACGATCTCCCGTGGGATAACGATCTCCTGTGGGATAACGATCTCCTGTGGGATAACGATCTCCTGTAGGATAACGATCTCCCGTAGGATAACGATCTCCCGTGGGATAACGATCTCCCGTGGGATAACGATCTCCCGTGGGATAACGATCTCCTGTAGGATAACGATCTCCCGTGGGATAACGATCTCCCGTGGGATAACGATCTCCTGTGGGATAACGGTCGGGATATCGATCACCAAGAGGATAGCGATCAGGATAATTGTCAGGTTCACCTAAAGGATATCTGTTATCCGGAAATTTATCGTCTAAGGGACGACGATCAGGATAACGATTTGGATAACGATCTGGTTTGACGCTGCTAGAATATCCTTTGTCGTAATCGTCTGGGTATCCTGAAAGAAATATTTTAGCAAGTTTCAACATCGTAATTAATTATGTAAATCAAATGTTTAATATTTTTAAGTAACATGGAAACTGGTAAACAAACGAATGGTAAACATTTAGCAATACCAAGAATCTTATAAAATTGACTTTTATAATAATCAGATTATTTAATTTTAGAATTCTGAAAGAGACTAGAATCAAATTCGATCCTACAAATCTTACAATTCTTAAAAAACAAGGCCTTTTAAATTTTTATGTTTGAATTATGTTTTTATGCTTTTGTCCTCAAAGGGTTAATATGGAACGCGAGTTTCTTGTAATAAAAGAATAAAATTCAGTATTAGATCACATTTAGCGTAAAAAATGCAATTTGGATTAGCTTAATTTCGAATGACAAGATTTATGATAATCTTAACAGATGATGGTTAACAATAGTATCTAACGGCGATTATAAACATCCGTTTAAGATCTTGTCCCATTAACACAATTTATGTGATTACTCGGCAGCTCTATGAATAATTACACAACTTTATATAACACGTCGACATACGATATTACTCTGAATTAATAAAGCGGTTCTAACCGGGTCTTCCTAAAGAGGGTCGTCCAAAGTTTGTGTCCTGTCCTAAGGGATCCGGTCTGTATCCAGGGCTATCGCGATCGCCGTCTAGATATTGATCTGTTGGTACAATGCGGTCGTTAAATTAAACATTGAACTATGCAAAGCTGTATCACTGTTCCAAGACGTTCTCGAAAGCCGCAGTACGCTCACGTAGTGATACAAGTCAATTTATCACACCGACATGATATATAGTTAAAAAAAAACTAAGCCGATTGCAAATTTTTCATAAATAATAGAATAACGATAAGTATTACGATAACAAATTTTTACATAAACATTAATAATTAATAAACATTAATAATTTCGCACTGAATAATGCAACTGTTAGGTAATACCATGTCATATTACATTTATATTGTTAAATGTGAAATTATAACATTAATGTTATGTTAACTTTTAATTAGGATCAACTCGAATAATACTCAGAAACTGTTCATCGTGCAACGCGTGTCTTTCCTCGTGATGAACGGACAAAGCAATCGATACTCACGCATAAGATTTTCGTAATAATCATAATCGGCATCGTAGATAATCCGGTTACCGTCCCTTTGATTGAATCGGCTTAAACGGCAGGTGTGATAATGTTCGGAGTAAACTGCGCTACGGCATTGGAAGCTCGTCTGCCGGAGGCACTCGTCCAGACACTCGCTGAGGCTGCGTCCGGTAATCTCCGAATGAAACTCGCCACTCAAACGCGAGTTCCGATAACGCTGGAAAGCCGTATCCGGACGACGACCGTCGGAGAAGAGGTGCGATGACGAGCTGCTGTCCGGGTATTCGGAGCCGCGCGCTAAGGACGGATCTACGCTTCGTAAGTGGGCATTGATAACGAGTTGTGAATCACCAACTGACCATTGTAATTAAAAATCTTACGCCTGGTTAGAATATGATATAATACAGAGTAGGAAAAATAGCACTGATATATTAAATTCTCAACTAACACCGTACGTTTTATATGTAGTAAATTAATAGTAAATTAGCCCTTCAATATCACACTACACTATTTTGTCACAGGTGCAATGTATTTTTACAGTATGGCATATTCAACCCAATTTTGATTATTTATAATTATTATAAAAATGAACGTATTGTAACCATTTTTTTTAAAGCAATAAATAGAAATTTTAAAAAATAGTTTTTTTTTTTTTAATTAGATACGCCATATAGAGATTGATAATGAAGAGGTAATATAATTTAAAAATTACATGTCTGATTAAATCTTTATTTTATTTATTTACACCAAAACCAAGTTAGTGTGAAATTAATTAAATTATAAAAAGGTTTAGTAATTAGTGAAATTTATATAATAAACTAGGTTAATTTAGTGAAATTAAATTAAAGAACAAATAGTTTAATGAAAGCTTAGTTTCTTGAAACGTGGAAATTAATTTTAATGTTCTGGAAAAATTATTATCGATTTCATTTATCATTCAATTTATTACGAATGTTACATACACTGTTAAATCTGTAGTGTCAAATTTAACTTAACGTAAATCGTCACTGCTCCAACTCAATCATATCGTTATTTTATACTAAAACAATAGCTATATTTGACACTATATAGTGTCAAATATAGCTATTGTTTTAGTATAAAATAACGATATGATTGAGTTGGAGCAGTGACGATTTACGTTAAGTTAAATTTGACACCATAGTTGTACCATTAACAGTGTAATGAGACAAAATAACAGCGGACTAAAATGGTGACAGGCAAAATGAGCTATTAAAAATTAATATTAAAATTTTGCATACACTCACGATTATCTAAGCACACCAAGTCGTAAAAATGGTGACTCGGGCTGCTGCTAACTCCAATGTCGTCTTTTTGTGAAACGGAATCCTCTTCGGATATGACGCACTGCCGCGTTTGCTCGTCAAACTCGACGCTGCGACAGAAATATTTTTCCGCTCTAGGACACAGCGCCTGACATTCCTCCAAAGTAAGATTCGTGTATACATCCACTTCAAACGGGCCGCGTAAACGTTTGTTTTCTTCCTTGACGAATACTGTGAGTCCATCGCATCGTCTTTCGGCTGATCAGATGTTTAAAAAATATTTCTTTAATTTTAATAATTATATGTATAATTAATGTAAATTATTAATAAATATAATTATATAATTAATGTAAATATATATATGATATTTCTCAAGATATTTAATATGTCGATTATCATCTTTTAAATATATTTTTTCGCGCAATTTTTAATTATTACAAGAAAATTTCAAATGTAACTTTTCGATGAGATACATAAATTAAATACTTTATACAAAATTTAATCAGAAACGTACTATTAAGGCAAGTATTTTCCAGATAATCAGAATTCGGATCGTCCTCCAATAATTCAGGATGAGTTCTCCTAGTGAAGCGACTGAGAGAACAGCTTCTCAGGGCAGTGTCGTATGTTGCCGATCGGCAAACGAAACTGAATTCGTTGAGGCACCTAAACATAAATTTAAAATACTATTTCTTTTACGACACGCGATGATTTTTAATCTTCGCGAATATACCTGTCCTCGCAGTCGGTTCTGTTAGCGGCGCTGACTTCTTTGATGTCTGTCAAGGGTAGCTTCAGCTTTTTTCTCGGATGTCTTTCGAACACGTAACGACGATTTGGACATTCCCTCTCTATTCTGTCGGCTAAAAATGAAACAGACATATTAACTAGTAAACTCTAGAAATTATTAAAAACAAATAGAAGCAGGTACAGAAATCAATTTTTAAAGAATTCCAGATCAATTTGAAGAATAATTATTTTTAGTCAGAGAATTGCAGAGAATAGTTCGTTCCAGTTTCCACCATTATTAGAAAAAAAAATCATTGCGTCTTTCTGACAAGCAAAATTCGTGAACGAGCTATTTCAATTAACAGAATGCATCGCGGCGTGATGCACACAAGGATATTTTTTTCTATCGACGTTTCTCTGTCTATGTGAATACTCACACGTTAGGCACACTTCGGTGAAGTGCACGCTATTTGGTACGAGCATGAGATTTCCGATGCCCTCTGGTTGCGCCTGTTCCCTCGTTAAATAGCAAGTACTCTCCTCGTACTCGGCGACGCCGCTGAAAGACGCGATTCTGCTGCCGGGTTGGAAGTCGAAGCTCGTACATGCGCGAACCAGATTGTTCGTTGCCGTTCTGTCGCGCAGACAGAGCTCTTGACACTTCTCCAAGACCCTAAACGGAGGCGCCGAGTCTCGCACCTGCCATAAAACGGAATTTCTTAACATTGGATACTTTATTTCAATTATGTCACGATCACGTGATATCTTCTCCTACGCGACCACTGCGTCGCGGAATTATGGAAAATTGAAATTCGAGAAGCGCGCGCGAGTCTCGCTCGATCGATCATCCATACGAAATAGAGCGCGGATGGAAGTTCGTTATAATTAATATTGAAAATACGATATCTAAAAAAATTTTAGAAGTAAAAGAGTTGAAGGTTGCAAGTTACTTACAATGCCGTTATCGTTACAATTACTTTTATTTTAGTAACGAATTGGTAACAACGTTACATTATTTATTGTACATTTTTTTAACGGTAATAGTAATTTTTAAAGTAATGGCAGTAAATATAATCATTACTTTTATCGTTACTTTGTACAATTCATAAGTGGAACGTGCATAAGCGAGTTTTAAAAGAAAAGAGTGTTATATAAGCGTGTTCTAAAAGAGTGTTTAACCATTAACGACGCAGATAATTGGATCTCTAAAAAATGTTATCAAAATTCAATGAAAAATAAAAGTAATAACAAATAACTTTTTACAATAAATAACGAGTAAAAATAACAAGTTACTTTTAGAGATAACTTTCCCAACTCTGCTGATACGTTACGTTTCTAGGATATTTTACTAAATCATGTGAAAAACTTGAACGATAGTTAAGGATATATCATACATATTTTTTAACGAAATGAAAAGTTATGTTAAAAATAAAAAAGTTATTTGCTATGATGTAGTAATACACATGTATGACCACGGATTATAATATATAAATAAAACAATAGGGCGCATGCCTCTCGTGCACATGCAGCGCTATCATAAGTGAAAATTAGCTTTGGCCGATATTATAATTGATCGGTACTATGCGACTTTCCCTTATAACATTCACTTTTATACGGAAGATATGAATTTCCAATTTCAGTCACATTTTACAGAGACTATACACCTGATACATCCTTGAAAGCCGAAGTACTTTCGAAATATCCTCGATCTTACCACATCGTCGTCAAAACCCTGAAGCTGCTGGTCCGGAAGTCTCTCGTAAACCACTCTACCCAGACCACCGTTGCAGGTCGTTTGTGCTGAAACTATAATGGTTTTCTCGTTAGCACCTATTTGTTGGCCAACGCGCGATAGATCCTGATTTTATTTATATACTATTTTGTGTAGAAAGCACAGATTATTATTTCCTTTTCGCATAAAATTCAGGCTACTTCCTCTAGTCAACAAACGCTCGCGCGCTCTTCGATTTTATCAGCACGATATTTTCATGCCATAAGTGGCACGGATAGTGACACAATACGCCCAACAGTTTCGTAAGTACATGACATCGTTCTGTATCTCTCGAGTTGTTCGCTCGCACGTTCGCAGAACTATTTAGTTACGTATGAATTCCAAACATATTTTTAGAATACAATTGCCGCGCTGAACAGAAAATTGGAAAAATGTTTTTTTATCGTAATTTTAAGCAAAAGTTATTATTAACTTGAAACGATCGCTGCTTAATATTTCAATCATTATATTAATTAATTTAAGATAAATTATTAATAAACTCGTAATTAGATCATGTTTAATTAACGATAAACATTTTTAAAAGGAAAAGCATTTGAATTCTTTTCCACAATTCTGTTTATTTTTAAATAAAATCTATCGAAATCTATGAGTAATGTATATTGAACATATTGATAATATCTATCAAAGGACCTCTTACTCTTAATTATATGGAAAATTGAGTCTCGATAAAATGAATCAATTTTTACATATAATGTAGCTTATAATATGGTGAACAAAAGACATCATAGGCACATAGCTCAATAATGAATAATTGCTGAATTATGGTGCATCAAAGGTACTCTCTGAGCACAAGTTTTGTAAACATTTTACACGTCTTTGATACGTCACAGCTTCACATACAACTGTCCATTATATAATATAATACATTATAGCTTCAAAACTATTCATTATTGAATCTTGTTTCTCTGTAGTATCTTTTATTCATCATATTATAAGCTGTATTATATATGTATACTAATTCATTTTATTATAAATGAAAATTCACTTATTTCCAGGACTTAATTTTTCATATAATTTAAGTACACAGGGTCAATTCTTTGATCTAAAAAAAATTGTAAACAAATTTTAATTTATTACGTTCTTACCATTGACCAATAGATCTAACACGATGAGTATCCAAATGGATGGCAGCATACTAATTGATCTGTGAGCTTTCCGCATCGTGATATTGAAATGTACGGATTATTATGTCGCATACATGCCAATCGCTATTAAGCTCTGAAAATGAATTATTAAATAAATTTGATACTTAAAAGGGAAGAGACATTTTTTACAATTTATATTTATTGAAATTTTTTGTAATTTTTTAATTTTAATATTATCAAATATACGTTATTAAAGAAATAAATTATTTTATGTTATTTTCCGTAAAATTACCGTGGTAGAAATTACAGAAGTTAAAAACGGTCTGACGAAATTTGTTTCTTGCTTTGAAAGAAGAGGAAAAATTTAATTTGTGCGAAGTGAGATATGCTCTTCTAAGAAGTAGCTTTGTATTGAAGTTTAATAATGCAAAAGAGATGTTAAAATTATTTACGCGATAGACGAAAGACTACTCGTATTTTCCATGTGTATTTTTCTTTTACGAAATAGATGTGTTGAGAAAAATATTGAAACTGTTTATAATATGTACCACGAAGGCATAAGAAAATGTTTAAAAATTGCTGCTGCATAAATATTTTATTTCACATTTATATAATCAAGAGAATATTTTTAATTAAAGGAATTCACAAAAATATGTTTATAAAAAAATACATGTATGAGAAAAAATAGATAGAGTAATTATTGCTTAGTTGTTTTTGAAAATCGTTTCATCTGTTATTTCCCTGGAGGGCTAGGTGTAACGGATCCAAATCCAGTTTTTGCTCCTTGTATGAAAAAAAGGTACATGAAAAATCAGAATACAGATAAAACTACTAGCGAGTACCATTTGTTCTGACCGATGAACGTTTCTACGTATGTACTCGAGATACATGGGGACAGGCGTGTATTAAACTTTATGGGATTCCTGACGAGCACTCACCCTGAACACTACTACACACTATCACTCTCGCACGCCTGTATACGCGGCTGCCAAAGGACCAGCACATGCCCGTAAGGGCAACGAAGCGTGGTTCCAACTTTCAGGCATTACATTATTAGCCGGTTGCTATTATATGTTCGGTTATCGTGATTGACGTCGGAGAGCGCGGGTTCAATCATCGGAAACGAAAGAACGAGCAGGGTCATCTTCGTACGCAATGATTTTATCATTCGATAACATCGAAAATCAAAAGAAAAAGGGCAAATATATGTGTGTGTGTGTGTGTGTGTGTGTATGCGATATGATATCTTCTAAAATAATTTTGCGAATGTAATATTTACCAAAATAATTTCAGGCCTTAAAATATTCTGTTAAACGATAAAATATTTTATATTTATATATTAGATCCGGTTTTTGTTAAAATTTTTATGTTGAATTTTTAATATATCTAAGTGTTAATTTAACATGCAAATGTTAATTTTATTGAAGAAATATACTTTCATAATTTTTATTTGCAAATCAGCGTTATACTTTTACGTTAATTTTTTACATAATATTTGTGATACTTCTTAACATGTTCATCTTCTATTAAATTAATACAAAAATTTGGATATACTGTTAGAATGTAAAATGTATTAAATTTAACACAAATTTTCCAACTATATCAAAAGAAATTTTTCTGTAGCTTTCTTTTCTTCAGTATTTTTATTTCATATTAGCCAGTTTAACTAACTGGTATGTTGAAACACATACATGAGAGTATATAGTGGCAATTAAATTATTTACTTAATATTGTCTTATAAATTATAAGCTCTCTCTACAAAGTATAATATGATAGGAACATTAACGTTATTCGGCTTTATTGATCTACAATTTTGAAAGTTCGACCGCGGTCGAACTCAGCGAGTCTATAGAATCTCCATAATAGGATGTTTATGATATTGACAAGGAAAATCGTAAAGAGGATTTTATTGTCAGGGTAATTTATGTTTACTCGTTGATGCACAAGTGTACTTGTTCGTGACGAGTGCCAATTACTATAGCCGCGGCTCGTCCACCGATTGTGTCCATCGTGCAGCGCTGCTTATTAATCGCGTTATGGTTTATCGCCTCAGTAATTGCGTCTGTCACCGACAACGCAGTATAAAAGCTTATTCTGATGTTAATATCATCGGCCGCGTGAGAAAATTATGGTGCTCGTTCGTAATAATTCGCGTAATATTGCCCGTGCGAAATTACATTTCTGCAATTGTCCTCGTTGGATTGCCGGATTTATGATACGTACCGCTCGCCGTATGCAAATTATTTCGGGAAATTACTCGGATTAAGGTAATTAAACATACCATCAGACACGAGTGCGGGAGCACCAATTAAAAACATCGTGAGAGTAAAGGAGACGTTAAAAGTGTAAGGATGATTCGCGCGAAGTAGTTTTAATTCTTGCTGCCGTTATAAAATTTTATACTGTTACAAAATATTAAATATTTTGTAATATGAATTCATCGTGAGAACGCGCTGCTAATCATAGACGTAATAAGTATAGACTGCACATTTCCTAAACTTAGCATCTGTGCTTCGTTAGAAAGAACTGAATCGTATCAGCATCTCTATTCAATTATATACTTTAAAGAGAGATATAAAAAGAATAGATAAATATTGTTATTTATTGAACGATTCTCAAGTACTAAGATAATCCATACAGATTTACAATATAATTGTTACTTACACGGAAAGAATTATTTTGCTAAATACAAGACTGTAGCTTTAAGAAAAAAGAGAGAGAAAGAGAGCGCGCGATACGATCAACCTATCTTTTTTTTAGACTGATAATGACAATTTCATATTAATGTAAGAAAAACGTCTGATTGGATTAATTAGAATTCTGATTGAAAATAGACGAATCAGAATTTCTGGTTAAATCTACTAGAATTCTAGTTGAGATAATCGGAATTCTGATTGATATATTATATTAAAATCTTCTAGTGCGTCCATTTTCAATTAGACATTTTCCTCAGTGTAAAAATGCGCAATTTATTCTTAACGCTATGGCAGACAAAGAAATTTAGCAATAAGAAGTAGTAAGTAAATAAATATTTTGGATTTGCTATTATTTAGATCATTACCTTGCCTTACGTCTCTACTGTGATCGATTCGTTTGCATCTTACCGCTTTATTCCCGTATCACACTACGCATTAGAGACTGAGAATTGCGAATTGAGGATTAGAATTCAGCCAATTAGAACGAAACGGATTAAACTTAAAATTACCTGATTGATCGAATTCTAATCCTTAATTCGCAATCCTCAATCTCCAATGCATAGTGTGACATGGGCATTAGGGTAGGAGCAGAGTCTTGCATAACGCATAATGTACAATGCATAAAAAAATGAACCAATCAAAATCCTTCATTTCCTTCCTTTCCATGAAATAAAAGACTTCGATTGGTTGATTTCCTTATGTCTTATGCAAGAATCTGTGCTTCTTTCCTTACGTTCTTTTTATATGTCGTAGTCTTTATTACATATGTGCTATTAATATGATTAATAAACAAACGAGACGAATGAGTTATTAAGAAGAAAAAAAGACAGTTTGAAGATCATTGTTGATGCGATTCATAATTTGGGCTTTGGAAAGCATCAGTTTTTTAAAAGCTTACTTTCCGTAGCTGCTTTTCATTGCGAGCTTCCACCACAGGGTCTATTGTCGCGGTGCTTTGAACTCTATTGGTACGCGGATGGTATTGTTGCGTGCGTACTCGTGTCGAACCGGGAATGAATTCGGTCATTGTTGTGTGACGTTCATGTTAATGGAACTTTTGCACGCAACGACAAATTATTATCTGGTAATGTGCCATTCTGTCGGATTCGGGCACGATGCGATGCTGAGGGAGAGATGACAACGCATCCAGAAACGTTTGAGGTTGCGGCCGAGATCTTCTGAGCCACTTGAAAATTATTACCAGTAGAATACGATCTCGGCTGTGCAAAAGATCGTGGAAAATCAGTATAATACTCGCATCTTGCAATTGCGTAACTCGAGTAATTATCATAATTACAGCAATACAAACATGTACTACGCTCCAACGCGTTAATTGCCGCGCGATACGTCATTAAAATAATTAATTTTGAGTAATACAGTCATGCAAGTTACTTTATCCTTATATGGACACATAACTATGTGAATGATGTTCCGTGAAAATATTTTTCTTTATACAGAAAGAACGGTTTTACTATAAAATATTTAAAAATTTAGCTATATAGATATAGATTTGAAAATAATTTTGTTAGACATTAAAATAATTATGTAAGACGCTCAAGCTGATTGTCAGTGTCAAAACTTTTTGTAATATTGTTTATTATGTTTGAGCATCTTACATAATTATTTTGATAATCCAACAAAATTATTTTCAGACATGTATCGAGCTAAATTTTTACAATTTTAGCAAAATCATTCTTTCCTTGTAATAAAGGAAAATTAATCATTGCGACGAGTTGTACTAAAAAATCATTATATATATGAACGCATATAAAAGTTTCACGTTTTCACGAAACGAATTTTTCATCTAGAATTACAATTATCGATTCAATAAATCTTTCGAGGAAGAGATAACGGAACATGAGGGTATATACTGGTAAAATAAATTCACCCTCACGAGCGCGGATTTAATCTTTTGCCCATAACATTCTCTTAAAAAAAGGATATAAAATTATAATTAAAGTCGAGTAATTTATACGAATGACTTTTCCCAATAAACACAAAGTTACACGTACCTCTTAGTTATAATTTCTTATTCAACAATATAATACACATGTTATATTATTGTATATTGTTGAATGGGAAACTACTTACTTTTTAATGATTTCATGTCGTTTGACATTGGAATAAAAAGATTGTCAATGGTATAAAAAAGAATCGTCGATGAAGGGAAAGAAAGCTTACCCAGGAGGAACAGCTCTCCCTTAGTTCTCCGTCGCAAGCTCTCCGTTCCTTTGGCGTGATTACAATTGCCGTGAAGGAGGGTGAAAGGAAGCGTCGCGGATCTCGCGATGTGCCAGTTCTTTCTCGCTATCCCAACGCGATCCCAAAAGTGATCTTATGGATGTCCCTCGTGCTATCCGCCGATCGCGCGCGAGAAAGA